AGCAAATGGTACCTGAGGTGTTGATGGAAGGGGATTCCCCTTCCAAACTATAAACAATCCACTCTCTCTCCTCCTCCAGTCTCCCATACACTAAGAAGAATCTCCAATAAAGGTAAGTGTTATGCTGTTAATATTTCATTCATTTCCCATTGTATTGTTTATGTACTACATGTATATTTCATGTTAAAAATTTTTTTGTTTTAATACTTCTGGGTGTCAGGAACGGATTAATTGTATTTACATTATTTCTTATGGGGAAAATTGATTCATAAATCATAAATTTCGTTTATAGTAACGGCTCCAGGAACGGATTAATTACAAAAAACGAGGGACCACTGTAGTTTATCTTGCCTGATATTTTCTGCATAACAAGTGACTTCTTAAAATGTACAAAATAAATATCACCTCATTTTGTAATAATTGTGTGCATTTTGAAAATAAAATTTGTTTATTTGTTTGTTTGTTATTGAGTGGAACAAGTTTCGAAGTGGCATCATGGAAGCTATTACCTTGGGTAGCTTTAACAATAGGTTAGACAGATGTATAAGTGAGAGGTGTCCTGTAGCTCGATTGCTAGCACACTCAGCTCACACATTGAGGTTGGTGGCTCAATCCCTGGTATGGTTGGAAACATTAGGATGTGTTTCCTTAAGATACCTGCTGTTCTTGTTCACCTATCAGTAAAATAAGTACCTGAGTGTTGGTCGACTGGTGTAAGTCACATCCTGAAATTCTCTGCAGGCAAGAGATAATATACATTTGGATTAGTGGGATTAGTACCAAATTTGCACACAAAAATCACTCCCTATGAAAGCAAAAGACTCGGCAGGAGATGCAACATTTCCCCAGTGAAAAGCAGGGGCACCACGAGTGTACTGAGAGACAACACGATAAGTGTCCAGGTCCCAAGACTGTTTAACTGCCTCCCAGCATACCTAAGGGGGATTACCAATAGACCTCTGGTGGTCTTCAAGAAGGCACTGGACAGGCACCTAAAGTCAGTACCTGACCAGCTAGGCTGTGGTTCATACATCAGTTTGCACGTGGCTAGCAGTAACAGCTTGGTTGATCAGAGCCTGATGCTCCACAAGGCCTGGTCTCAGACTGAGATGTGAGGGCATTGACCCCTGAAACCCTCTCCAGGTATAACAAGGGGCTTTCTATATAGTAGTATTATGTCATTGATGTCAGCTAAGCCTGAATATGTTGTACTTGTAAAAATAAAGATTGTTATTATTATTACAGCCTCTCCTCCACGTACTCATTTACCGACGACTTGGACTTACAACGGGGTCTCTGACCAGTATGCATGCCTAAATAATGTGTATTAGAGCTGATTGCCTCTATTCTGTTTATTTCATTACACAGTACACTAGCAACGTACTTGTTTGCCGAGGACTCGGTCTTTTGATGGGCTCTCTGACCAGTATGCATACCTAAATACAGTGGACCCCAAGACATCGGCTAAATTGGATTTCATCCACTTTTTTGGCCGAAATTCTATTCTGGATTTCAGCTGGCAACTCGGAAATTAGCCATATTGGATGTGTCCGCCCGCCACGCCGTGTGCGTGAGTCAGTCTGGCTGTGTCTCAGTGAGTGAGCAACACTCCGCACATTCATCCAAACATTTCATTATAATCCATTGTTTTTTGTGGTTGTTTATTGAGTGCAACTACGAAATAAGCCACCATGGGCCCACCAAAGAAAGTTTCTGTGCCAGCCCTTTGGTAAAGAAAGTGAGAAACACGATAGAATTCAGTGACAAAACCTTGTCCCACTTCAGGCAAATTTTAGAGATGCCAGAAACAGACCTCTCTGGACAGTTTTTTTTTTTTTTTGTGACGGGTGCAATGACTCAAGCTGGTCCTAGTGCCAGTAAAAGACAAAGAAGGGAAGAAACCCCCGGATAGGGACTTGATACCTGAAGTCCTTATGGAGGGGGATAACCCTTCCAAACAATCAGACCTCTCTCTCTCCTCCTCCCTGTCTACCATACGCCAACAAGAATCTTCAATAAAGGCAAATGTGATGTTAAATGTTCATTTATCCATTTCATTATTCATTTTATTTAGTTCTCATTGTTTTGTTTATGTAAAACTATAGTTAATCTTTAAAAAATGTATTTTTTGTTAATATTTTTGGGTGTCTGTGTCAGCATAGTTGCTGATCCCCTGTATATGTTATCTGAGTATCATAGTACCATCCATATGTTTTACATAGATGACCCCTTTGCTAGACTTAGCGGTTAGCATGTGTGACATCACGTGATGCCGCATGTGAGCGTCGGACGCTCTGCCTCTCTCTCAGTTCACGGATAGTCCTACAGGCAACAGGACAGGCTAGGCTGGGTTCCCCTCTCACACTCTGCTAATATGTGTTACCACCCAGCCAGTGTGTTTATCTCCGACCATCATATCTCCACAAACCCTCTCAACATCTGGAACAGATTAACCCTTTCAGGGTCCAAGGCCCAAATCTGGAGTCACGCACCAGTGTCCAAAAATTTTCAAAAAAAAAATTTGTTATTTTTTCTTATGAAATCGTAGAGAATCTTTTTGTGAAGGTAATAAAACAAAAAGTACGAAATTTGGTGGAAAATTGACGAAATTATGCTCTCGCGAATTTTGATGTGTCAGCGATATTTACGAATCGGCGATTTTGCCGACTTTGACTCCCATTTTAGGCCAATTACATTATTCCAATCAACCAAATTCTTAGCTATTTCACTAGTATTACTTCTATTCTATCGATTGAGCACAAGAAATCGCCAAGTCAACTGTTTCAACTACAAAATAAAGTGATCGGAAATTGTTAATTTGGCCAATTTAACACAAAGTTCAAAATATTCCAGTTTCAAAATAGGGTCCAGAATGAACAATGTAGGCATTCCTGGCACTAAACTAACACTTCCTCTGTTCATTAGTTATGTTTTGAGGCTTTACAAATAAATTCCATTTTGATTTTTTATTCACATAATGAATTTTTATTCACACCAAAAAATAGAAGATTTACTGTTATGCAATACTGTAATAATTGTATAAATATCATCACCATATTTGTGAATGTATATTAGACCCACCAGCTGACGTGTATTAGACGTGTGAGGTCGTTTGTTTACTCTTGAATATCGGCAAAAATTTAACATTTCTTCTACTTTGAGCTCAGTTTCAAGCCATTTCCAGTGCTAAAACCAATCAAAATCATCTATATTTCTGTAATATGTCTTCCATTCTATCAAATGAGACCAAGAAATCGCAAATACAACTATAAAAAACATACGAAAAAACACTGCAAAGTTGCTGTTTTAATCGAAAAATCATGATTTCATTTTTTTTCTCTCATTATACACAGTGTGCTGCAGGATCTGTTTTATGTGGTGCACACATACCACATAGATGTATTCTCTCATATCTAGGCCCAAATGTACCACTCACAGTTTATCAGAGTGAGCTGAGCTCATGGCGTAGATCTACGGTTTGGACCCTGAACGTAAAGCCGTAGATCTACGGGACGGACCCTGAAAGGGTTAATTGTATTTACATTAATTTTTTTTTTTTTTCAACAAGTCGGCCGTCTCCCACCGAGGCAGGGTGACCCAAAAAAGAAAGAAAATCCCCAAAAAGAAAATACTTTCATCATCATTCAACACTTTCACCACACTCACACATTATCACTGTTTTTGCAGAGGTGCTCAGAATACAACAGTTTAGAAGCATATACGTATAAAGATACACAATATATCCCTCCAAACTGCCAATATCCCAAACCCCTCCTTTAAAGTGCAGGCATTGTGCTTCCCATTTCCAGGACTCAAGTCCGACTATATGAAAATAACCGGTTTCCCTGAATCCCTTCACTAAATATTACCCTGCTCACACACTAATTGTTTTAGATGATGGTAGGATTGCTGGTGTCTTTTGTCTGTCTCATAAATATGCAAGATTACAGGTATGTCTTGCTACTTCTACTTACACTTAGGTCACACTACACATACATGTACACGTTTATTTATACACACTCATCTGAGTTTTCTTTGATTTTATCTTAATAGTTCTTGGTCTTATTACTTTTCCTTTTATATCCATGGGGAAGTGAAATAAGAATCTTTCCTCCATAAGCCATGCGTGTTGTAAAAGTCAACTAAAATGCCGGGAACAATGGGCTAGTAACCCCTTTTCCTGTAAAGATTACTAAAAAGAATAAGAAGAAAATTTACATTAATTCTTAGGGTAAATATTTCTTCGGTTTTCAGCCTTTTTGGATATTGGCCGACCTTCTGGAATGGATTACAGCCGAAATCCGGGGTTCCACTGTATAGACAAAACCTACTTCATGCTGTTTGGAGACAGAGCCTTAAATATCCAACTTAATATATTAATAAATAGTTCCCCTGTTACAAGACAAACTGAGGGTAAATTTTTAGGTCTTCACCTTGACTGTAACCTTAAATTTCATTCCCACATATATCCAAGAAAATCTCCAAATCAGTAGGCATCCTTTCCAAGATACTGTACTGTGTACCCTAAACAACACTCCTTACCCTATACCACTCTCTGATATATCCCTATCACACCTTTGGTATTTGTGTCCAGGTATCAAGCACAGCCAACCACCTTAAACCTTTAATAACCCAATAAAAAGCTGCTGTGGGGATGATCACCAACTCCTGTGCCAGACAGCACACCCCACCACTCTTCAAAAGCTTGAACGTACTAAATATACAAGACATACACTCATATTATTGTGCCTACTTTATGTCCAGAACACTAAACTCCAATCTAAACCCTCCGCTTAAACTTCTCCTTGATAGCTACACCAGAATGCAAAGAAATAAAATCTTTATTTTTATCTTTATCTTTTTATCAGTAAGGAGATACTGGTAGAGGTACCACATTGATCAGTAACAAAGTGTAATGCTTCTCAAGTATGGAAGAGAATTTTTTTTTTTAAATCATTGAGAGTTTGTTTACAAATTGTAACACCCTGATTACTTTTCAGCAAACTTACAGCAGGATGGTGCGACTCAGAATCAGGTGTCGATGCATTGCTGTGGCAGTCATAGTCTCCCAGGTGAGTCATCTAAATTATTGTGATGCTGAAAGAAATAGTGGAATAGCTAACCAATAGTGCACTCAGTAAATAAACATGTATGGCTAATAAATTGAACACATTTCTCAAACATGAAGCTAAACATTAGTTTACAAAGTGTTACATATATTAATTGTTCGTCATTAATTGGGTGCATCATTTACTGGTGTCAGTAAATCTTTAATAAAAGAAGACTTCTGTATAAAACTCAACTACACTAAGTCATAAGACATTGCACATGTTAACATGTAGTATATAATGCACGTGTTAACGTGTATAGAGGCACATATTAACACGTATATACATGTATAGATGCCTATGTTAACACATAGTACAGTAGGGCCCCGCTTTACCGCGTTTCGCCTTATGGCATTCCACTAATATGGCAATTTCAATTTATGACCAAAATTTGCTATACGGCAGGTGGTCTTTCAAATACGGCGTGCCCCACCCGGTTTGTTTACATTCTTCGTGAGCACATCTATTATGTCTGGAAACTTTCCAAAATTTCAAGTGTTTTAAAGTTATTGCATATTTTATATGTACTCTGATAATTATGCTTATGTGTACTTGTACCTAAATATACTTACTGTGCTGGCATGTAGGTACACATTAAAATCACCAAGTCTCTCTACTCATGACGCCATAGTAATATTATGTAATAATAATCTCTCTTGGGCATATTAAGTGTCTTATTTTACATTAATAAAGGCATTTTCATTAATCCATCTATGATATTTTCTTCAAAATTACAGTGGACCCTCGCCTAACGACATTAATCCATTCCTAAGAGTTCAACGTTAGACGAAATTAATCAAGGTGGCTGACGCTCCGCTTTGTCCTTGAGCTGAGGAGTCAGCAGCATGGGTCCCAGCCTGGGCTGGTGTCATGCATGGCTGTGGCACTACCATCACCACTACCACCACCTACTGATGCCTGTGGTCTATCCATGCCAAGTGTAGCCACATCATCCTCACTTTCACTGTCTATTCCTGGTGTAGGGCCACGGGATGTACTCCGGAATGTACTCTGTCCCCTGGGCACTGCATAGGGAACACTACCAGAGCGCATGTGGCGGCGTATATGCCAACGCTTCACTGGTGAATGTTTCCTCACTATCACTTCGAATGATCGTCAAGAGCAATAAAATCACAATCCACGTCACTATCATCATTACTGAAGTCAGAGGCCTGGCCACGCGAAAATAATAGTTTTCTCTTGTGATGAGGTACAACTGAACATGACTGAGGCGTGCCCACACCAGAGGTAGAAGGTTGAGGATTGTCAGGGTTTTCTGCACTATTATCTATATCCTGGTCATTCCTTTCGGTCACTGACTGATCAAAGCCAAAGAATTCGTCTTCATTTCCACTTCCATCAGAGTCAGAACTATCAGATGGGAAGAAGAGAGTCCCAATTTTCCTTGGAGTGAGAGCTACCTTGCGACGAGGCATGGTGAACAATGGTAACTGAGCTGGCGTTCCTGCAATGCTATGCGGGCGCCTAGAATTTTTGTATTTTTGTTTATGGCGTATACACACCACGCAGACCTGTTCTCTCACATGTAGGCCTACCAGCCTTTTCGCGCTAAATTTGACATCGCTAGAATTTTGGCGTAGATCTACGGTTTGGACCCTGAATGTAAAGCTGTAGATCTATGGCACGGACCCTGAAAGGGTTAAGATTTTCCTAAATTGGGCCACAACATTGTCATTGTACTGGTTGCCAAAACGGCTTGCAATAGCTGTGTCAGGGTGATTTTCATCCGTAAAGGTTTGCACTTCAAGCCACTTTTCACACATTTCCTTAATCTTTGAAGAAGGCAACTTCTTCAATTTCTCTCTCCCCTCCTCTGAAGCAGTTTCCTCAGACCATCAGTGGTTAGTTCTTCATTGTTCTCCTCCACCAACTCTTCCACATCTTCCCCACTAACCTCCAACCCCAAAGACTTCCCCAATGCCACAATAGATTCCACAACTGGCATAGGCTCCTAAGGGTTAGCCCCAAACCCTTCAAAATCCCTCTCTCCTACACATTCTGGCCACAGTTTCCTCCAAGCAGAGTTCAAGGTCCTCTTAGTCACTCCCTCCCAAGCCTTACCTATAAGGTTTACACAACTGAGAATACTAAAGTGATCTTTCCAAAACTCTCTTAGGGTCAGTCGAGTGTCTGAGGTCACTTCAAAGCACTTTTGAAACATAGCTTTTGTGTAAAGTTTTTTGAAGTTGGAAATGACCTGCTGGTCCATGGGCTGGAGGAGAGGAGTGGTATTAGGATGCAAAAATTTGACCTTGATGAAGCTCATGTCCTGAGAAATTAGCTCTGCCAAGTCTGAAAGATGACCAGGAGCATTGTCTAATACCAGGAGGCACTTAACCCTTAAACGGTCCAAACGTATATTTATGTTTTTTCAACAGTTGAAAGTATGTAAAAAAATGTACATCATCATTTTTTTTTTTTTTTACATTTGAAAATGTGTAAAAAAAAAACATAGATGTACTTTTGGAGCATTATGGATTTGAACATCGATCTATTTGGACCGTTTAAGGGCTAAGGTTCAATTTCTTTTCCAGGAGGTAATTTTTCACAGTGGGGGCAAACACATGGTGAAACCAGTCATAGAAGTCCCTAGTGACCCATGCCTTACTGTTTGCCCTCCACATCAGATACAAATTAGCCTTGAGGACATTGTTTTTCTTGAACACTCTGGGAGTTTCAGAGTGATACACCAATAAAGGCTTCACTTTGCAATCACCACTAGCATTATCACACAACAAAAGAATAAGCCCGTCTTTCATAAGCTTATGTCCTGGGAGTGCCTTGTCCTCCTGAGTAATGTAGGTCGTGTTTGGCATTTTCTTCCAAAACAGGCCTGTTTCATCACAATTAAACACTTGTTCAGGTTTCAATCCTTCAGCCTCTATGTACTCCTTGAATTCCTGCACATATTTTTCAGCCGCTTTTTGGTCCGAACTGGCAGCCTCACCATGCCTTGTCACACTACGTATGCCACTATGATTATTAAATCTCTCAAACCAACCTTTGCTGGCCTTATATTCACTCACATCACCACTAGTTTCAGGCATTTTTTTTAATTAAATCGTCATACAACTTCCTAGCCTTTTCACATATGATCGCTTGAGAGATGCTATCTCCTGCTATCTGTTTTTCATTTATCCACACCAATAACAATCTCTCAACATCTTCAAGTACTTGCAATCTCTGTTTCGAAAACAAACTTTCACCTTTTGCAAGAACAGCTTCCTTGATTGCCGTTTTGTTGGCCAAGATAGTAGCGATGGTTGATTGGGGTTTGGTATACAACCTGGCCAGCTCCGAGACACGCACACCACTTTCGTACTTTGCAATTATCTCTTTCTTAATTTCCATACTAATTCTCACCCTTTTTACCACAGGGTTGGCACTAGAAGTTTTCTTGGGGCCCATGGTGACTTATTTTGCAGTTATTAGCACTAAAAACACTGGGATAATGTGAAATGTACCAAATGTATGCGTAGATGCGACCGCACTGGCTGGCTTATAAATACTGGCACCCACAGGGCAGCTGAGGCACGCTCAGGCCACATGTGGGACGCATCCCAGACGAACCACATTGGGCGAGTTTTTATCGTTACGCGGGCCAAAATTTTTACTTTCAAACGCTTCGTTAGGCGGATTTAACATTATGCGATGCGTTTGTTAGGCAAAGGTCCACTGTGTATAAGAAACACGTTACATAGCATATAAACATTATACATACACCCACAGAATAAAAATTGACATTAATATGAGATTTGTTTACAAAGCGGCTTTGTAGGAGTGTTGGAAGAATTATGTTTTCTCTAGTCAAACACTGGGGGATAACTGTAGATAAATATTCCTTTTGTATGCCTTCACTCTATATATAGCAATTCACGACCCTTGTGGGTTTAGTGCTTTTTTTATTATGATTATAATAATAAATTGCAATAATAATTTGTAATAATAACTTGTAATAATTTTTATGATACAGGTAATATGTAATAATAATAATAATAATAATAATTTATCAGAGCATCATTCCTTCTAAAAATTACATGAGAATGGAAATGTTGGTATTTATTTATTCTACTGTATCACTGTGGAGACAACTTGTACACAATGTAAGGTGTTTGTATGAATGTTTATGAACCACAATCAGCTGCATCGTCTGTTTGTTTACATAGTGGGTGGGGTGGCCAGACTAGCTTCCCTACACTACCATACCTACCACACCGCTTTCTACAAATAAATACTTTTCACCTTTCACCCTACATTAAGACTACAAATATTTTAAGGTAAGTAATGAGTGTACTTTATATGCATTTTATCACTCTATTTAAGCATCGTCGTAGTATATTATGTGTGGGTGGGGGTGGCCAGGAGGGCTACCACACCTAACTTCTTATAGTAAATGCTATTCACCTTTTGCCCTACATTAAGACTACAAATATTTTGAGGTAAATAATGAGTGTAATGTGTGTGTATTTTACTTCTTATTGTTTTTTAATGCCTGAGTTCTATTGCTAACTTAATACAGTGTAAACCTGTCATCTGGCTTTTATATACATTTATAAGTGGAAGAAATGGCATTCTGCTTTCCGACGAAGTCTGCTTTAGGGCAGTAGCCTGGAACCTAACCTGCCGTATAAGCGGGGCCCTATTGTATATAGATGCACATGTTAACATGTATAGATGCACATGTTAACACGTATACAGTAGGGCCCCACTTATACGGCAGGTTAGGTTCCAGGCTATCACCAGAAAACAGACATCGCCAGAAAGCAGAATGCCATTTTTTCCATTTATAAATGCATATAAATGCCAGACAACAAGTTTACACTAAATTATATTAAGTTAGTAATAGAACTAGGCATTAAAAAACACAAAAAGTAAAATATATACACAGTACGTTCATTACTTATCTTAACGTATTTGTAATCTTAATGTAGGGCAAGAGGTGA